GCCCCCCCCCCCCCCCCCCCGCGCACTGTACATTCATATCATTTTTCTTCCTCGGCCCCATGGAGGAAGTGAGAAAGTTGGCACGGTCACCCAGGGCTTCGCAGGACCCGGTCACTCAGTGACAGATGGACAATGCAAGAATGAGCTCCTTCCTGGAATACCCCATCCTCAGCAGCGGCGACTCGGGGACCTGTTCAGCGCGAGCCTACCCCTCGGACCATGGGATTACAACTTTCCAATCGTGCGCAGTCACTGCCAACAGCTGCGGCGGCGACGACCACTTCCTAGTGGGCAGGGGGGTGCAGATCAGCTCGCCCCACCACCACCACCACCACCACCACCCCCAGCCGGCCACCTATCCGACTTCCGGGAACCTGGGGGTGTCCTACTCCCACTCGAGTTGTGGTCCAAGCTATAGCGCGCAGAACTTCGGCGCGCCTTACAGCCCCTACGCGTTAAATCAGGAAGCAGACGTAAGTGGTGGGTACCCCCAGTGCGCTCCCGCTGTTTACTCTGGAAATCTCTCATCTCCCATGGTCCAGCATCACCACCACCACCAGGGTTATGCAGGGGGCGCGGTGGGCTCGCCTCAGTACATTCACCACTCATATGGACAAGAGCACCAGAGCCTGGCCCTGGCCACGTATAATAACTCCTTGTCCCCTCTCCACGCCAGCCACCAGGAAGCCTGTCGCTCCCCTGCGTCGGAGACGTCTTCTCCAGCGCAGACCTTTGACTGGATGAAAGTCAAAAGAAATCCTCCCAAAACAGGTCAGTCCTGCCGGCCGGTGGACACTCCTTGATGATTTTGGAAGGAGCTGGCATGCTCAGTTTCCAAGGAAAATTAATGATTTTTTAGAAAGGTTCTTCCTTCCGACTAGTGTTGTAGGGCGTGGGAAGAGTGCCCAGGTGTGTTGGTGCAAAGAAGCCCATGGGACCGGTGTATTTTCAAAGAATTTTAGGTGTTCTGCAAGTAAAAGTACGGGGGGGGGTCTGTTAATATCTCCAGGCTCCATTAATCACCGGTCTGCCCACGCTAATGGCTGACTTCAGGTTAACACTTTACACCTCATCACTCACCCTCCCAAGCCCTGTTTGTGTTGAGAAGTTCTTGATCTCCCCTTTATTTGAATGCTGCTCTGAAGCGTGTAGGGGATCTCATATCAATTTAAAATTTTTACCTTTTCCTCTCATCGCTTCCCCGCCTGCCCCAGGGAAAGTTGGAGAGTATGGCTACGTGGGTCAACCCAACGCGGTGCGCACCAACTTCACCACCAAGCAGCTCACGGAACTGGAGAAGGAGTTCCACTTCAACAAGTACCTGACGCGCGCCCGCAGGGTGGAGATCGCCGCGTCCCTGCAGCTCAACGAGACGCAGGTGAAGATCTGGTTCCAGAACCGCCGCATGAAGCAAAAGAAACGTGAAAAGGAGGGGCTCTTGCCCATCTCTCCGGCCACCCCGCCGGGTAGCGATGAGAAGGCCGAGGAATCCTCGGAGAAGTCCAGCTCCTCGCCCTGCGTTCCTTCCCCGGGGTCTTCTACCTCAGACACTCTGACTACCTCCCACTGAGGCCGCCTCAGCCCCCGATTCCGCATCCCAGGCTTCTTCTTGGGCTGGGACTTCTACCCAAAGCACATTCTTCGCTTATCTTTCCATTTACAGTCTCTCTCTCCTTCTCTGATCCTATCTGGGGAGCTCCTGGCCAGGATAATGTGTTTCCAGAGATTTCGGGACCAGAGGTTTGGTGAGGGGTTAACTCTTTAATCCAGATTGGGTGCCAGCATCAATTTTCTGATGGCCCCTTTCATCCCTCCCTGCTTTTAGGAGATTTTCACAGAACCTAGTGTTTTTTTTCAGATGCCTTTTGGAAAATAGTTCCCTCTGCCCTCAGAAATATGTCAGAGGGAGGCCTCACATCTTGTGTCTAACAGTATATTTACAGTTCTTCCTACCTTGCCCTGAAAAGTAGGATATAGAGAAAGGAGAAAGTCCAGGAGCTCATGAAGAAGAGCTGCACTGAGTGTGTTTACACAATCAATTCATCCCTTAATTTAATTCAGTTTTGTGTGTGAGTTTGCAGGTTGTAAATACTTTGTCTGGAGAGATTTAACTTTATACAGATTTTCTAGAAATGTTTAGGTTAGGTGACTAAAACAGACAGGGTGGGCAAACTCTCAAAACTGGTACAACTTTATATGTGATTATAGGAGAAAAAATAAATTCCCTCATTTAAACCCACTTGGATGCCTCAGAGGGTAGCATCAATGTGTTCTTTCAGTGAGTTAGGAAAGCCTGCAGAGCACAAGGTTAAGAAACCTGGCTTCCTGTGCTAAGTCTCTCCTCTTCCCTACCCTTTTCTTCTAGCTTCTCTGGCCACCTTCCATTTAAAATTTATGCTAGATTTTTTGGAACCTACAGGTATTATTCAAACCAACTTCTTCCTTCTACAGTTATCTTAGCTGGATATGATGTATTTTCAGCTCAATTAATGTGATGGATGGCACAATGAATGTATATTTTGTGTGATTCGTGAATAGTCTTTTGCATGTCGCACAATGTTTTGATGTCCCTGAAGTACCACACTGAGTTCTATCAGTTATCCTTTGTGAGCCTGTGATGTTCCCCATTTCCTGTACAATCACGAACAGCTCTGAGATCCTGGAGTGATGTGATCCAGAGCAGAATTTACGGGTCTGATGTCTGTAATAAACATATTCAAGTTTCAGGTATGCTTAAGCATCCGTGTATTTTGCTGGGCTATAATTTGTTGATTCCTTCAAAGCTGGCTCATTTCATGTGGGGAAGGGAATAAGGTGATGTATATTTTCAGGGAGGTGGGCCTCTTCTTGAATAAAAGTGAATGCTTTCCATTATCATGTAGCTGAAACTTCCCCCATGACTGTAATTTCACCTAACCAATGTCTAATAGGTTGATTCTCTTTAAAATAACAACAGCTTCTTTATTATAATCAAATTTCATAATGGAAAAAAAAAAGAATGGTGAAGAAATTTATGAAGCGAATCTATTTTTGAAACAAACATGGATACTTCCTGGGTCAAGTGCTAACCTTTTCACCTCCAACTGAATGTTGACGTACGTATAAACAGAACCCCCTTCAAAAGCCAAAACTGTCTTCAGTCCATCTTTCCTCACATCAGTGAACCAAGAGCTAGGAGATTCACATTTAATTAGCTCCAGTATAAAGCTGTTGTGAGGATGAGCCCCCCACCCCAACCCTCTTCCTTTTTTTTGGGTTGTCAGGCAGTGTTCCAATGTCTTCCACTCTTTAAATTGAGTGTGGTCTGTTTTCAGTAAACTCTTGCATTCCTCCCCCATTCTTCCTGTCAACATCCATCCATTCCCGCCACTCCTCATCCCCTCATCCCCATCTTTGTGTTACACATCTCCTTCCCTTTAGACTCAGCTTTGATTTTGTAGCCGCCAAGGCTGTTAAAGAATCCACAGTTCCAAATCCATGCCACATAAGCTAGAAAAAAGAAGCTCTTATTTTCTTCTCTGTGCTCAACAGCTTCTCTCAGATGATCCCGTGGAAACCACCTTGAATTCTTTCAACATCCAGTTGTTTCTGACTCAGGCATGTGTCTGCTGTCACACAGAGGAAGCCAGCAAATGATAAAGTTCAAAGTGGCTCTCCTCCCAGACCTCTTACTATTTTCATTTGCTTTCACACATTTTTGGAAACTTTAATTTAGCCTCCAGTGTAGAGCAGAAAATTTACAGCATCACAAATAAATACAAGCATAGGACTTCCTCCCACAGGGTGTTTTACAAAGGATGAACTGGGGGAGAAAACTCTACAAAAATATGGAATTTGCAGGCCTTCTAGAGCACCTGTGAGATTTCCAGCACTTCCCTGTCAAAGGGGGCAAGCCTGGGTTTTGCAGGCACAGTTGCTGCGGCCATATCAAGGGCATTGGGTGCCCTCCCCTGAGCTGTTGGCTTCTGAGGTTGCCTCTAAAAGACTCAAATGGATGAAGGAGAACTTCAAAGAAGGCCAACCATTTCTTTCATTTCCCGCCTGGCCTTATACTGTATCTTTTGTTTATTGGTGTAAGGCCACACAGCAAAACAGATGGCTAGTTTCCAAATACTTTAATGTGTTAAAGTGTCATTTGCATGCCACTACCTCAATTTCAATATCTAAAAGCAGGGCCCGACCCTCTGGAATCCTGGAGATTCCAATCTTCAAGGTGCTGGTTTTAATGTAGCTGAGAGAGAGCAGAACGATAAATTATGGCTAAACATCCCTAGCCTTTTATAGGTCATGGAATAAATCAGTTAACAAGCAATGCATTTAGGAAACATTAATATACCTTTCAACAAGGAAAACATTTGTATCTTTTTAGCTGTCCCAATCAATTAAATCAAACGCGCTTAACACATTCTATTTCAAGGTCTCTCTTTTTCTGGTTTGGTCTCTGAGGAGTACAGTTAGCTCCTTGAAAGATGACAGCAGTGGTAACTGAAATGACATAAAAATGGAAAACAGAAAACATTTTACTGATAAATTTAAAAGGGAAACAAGGGTCTCTAAGGGACCTGGGATAATTGCAATATAAAATTCCAGTTTTCGAATGCTTCGTTCTCACTTCCTTTACATTAATCCATATTCCCAAAATTCAGGGTGTCCCCAAACACCCTGAGTAGAGTGGAGGTCTTGCTGTGGCTCTGAAGTCTGCTCTGGGCTTCACCTTTGGAAGTTTACTTTTGGAGGCTATTCTGATGCCGTGGTGTTTTCCTCTGGGGCAATCAGATTCAAACCGATCAATATTTACTCAGTCTGAAAGGGTTGTTGAAAAGGCTGCTAACAACAAACTGCTTAGCTGCTCAGCCCTGTTTAATCTCAGGTTCACCGAAAGTTCAAGAAGAGATGAATGCAGTGATGGGTCACTTTAGAATGAGTCCCAGCGGTTTATCTGAGCTCTCAGCTAAAGGCAACAATTATAGTTCCATCCCTCTTTGGGAAAGGGGCAACTTTCCTATTATTCTTTTGCTAAACAATGTTTACTAGAAACTTAAAACACTTTCCTCTCCCCTCTGGTTTTTTTTTTTTTGAAGCTTCCAGCTGCCCTCCTCTTGCCCCTTCCTCTAGTTTTCTGCCAACCCACTACGTTTTATTTGACTTAAAATAAATTACATCGAATATTTTTAAAGTGTTAAATTAGTCTGACAGGAGAGATCTGATTTATTTCAGATGCCACGAGCTATGAAATGAAGCTCTCTGGACCATTAGAGTTTATCTTCGTGAAAGTACAGGGCAAGATAGAATTGAAATCCATTTGTGTTTGAGTAATATTGACAATTAGAGCCCCAATATCCATCTGAGATGGCGATTCAGATGGGGGGGTGGAGGAGGGGAACCTGACTTGTGCAGTAGCAAATACCTCAGGTGGAAAGTCAACTTTAAGTTTTTATGCCCTCCTAGTGCATGAACTACCGAGAGATAAAAAGAAAGACCCAAGGAAGCCAGTGGGGAATGGCGGGTAGAAAATGTTGGACACTGAGGCTAATTGCTACAGCTCTTCAGAGGTCAAAGTTCATGTAATCACTGCATAAATGCATACTAAATAGGGATTTATTAAGCTTTCCTGATGGCTGAGCACGTCTGTGAAAAATGGTCACTGCTGTTTGTGTTTCTTTCTTAAGTATAATCATTCTTGAAGTTGAAAGCTCTAGGCGTTTGAGTCTTTAATTTACTATTTTGAGAGGCAGGCAACCCTTCTGTTTTAAAATTTTGAAATCAGTGCAAGGACATCTTTCTTTATATTGGATGGGACTGTAAAATACCTCTCTCACTTTTAGAAATCCTACAGCTTTTTGTATTGAAAAAGGTATACATGATACAGACAAGAACACAGTTAGCATGCCCTTATCAGATAAGCTACTCACCGGATGGCTAACTTTGGTGATCCTCTGCCTGCATTTCTGAGAGAATACAAAAGTTTTCCCTTAGGACTCCATGTGTCAAGATGACCAGAATTGAAAGGGACCCATCTACCCAAACCCTCATTTTATGGATCAGGAAAAGGCACCCGGAGGTGTATTGATTTGCCTGAGAGCACACAGTCAGCATCAATACCCTTACTTCCTAAATAAAAACCAGGGTAGCTTGAACCTGAGTGCAGTGCACTTTTTAATTCTAAAGTCCTGATTTGATTCCTGCCCCCCACCCCAACTTGTTCTTTGTGATTTGTTTACCATTTTCCCATTTCTGCTTTACTGGCCACCATCTCAGTCAAATTCTTGATTTTGAGGCCATCAGGATTACTGAATCTTTGAAACAACCTCCAAGTTCAACGTTTCTGCCATTTTGTTCTAATAATAAAATGTTGGGATACTTACCTTTAAAGACATAAAATCTTAAAATGTAAAAATAGAGATAGAGAAGGTAAAATTCAGAACACACTCATATATGCACATACATATTTGTTTTGTTTTTAAGCCTAGGCTAGAGAAGAATAAATGAAAGAGGAGTTGCCTGCACCCAAGTTTGACCTCCATTAAATTGTCAAGAGGTATCACCTAGACAGGGCTTCAAGATGCAAAGAACATGCCAGGAGGGGTCCTAACCTTGAATCTTTTGTTTGTTTGTTCGCTTGTTTTCTTCTGTCTGGTATGTAACACAGCATAGCCTCCTGAACTGTTCTGACCCATATTTCTTATTTTTTTCCATGATTCACTTATGTACCTAATACACATGCATACATACCCAAAGCCCAAACCATTAACATAAAGTTTCCTTGCAACACAACTTTCCACATTCTCCTTCATTTCATCCCCATGGGGTCCTACTGATCTCAGTGGAACCCTTGCCCAAAGGGACATCAGTGGCTGTCAGTGTGAGAGGAGCTGAGCTGGAATCCTCAGTGTTTTAGTACCTTATTTTTAATAACACCCGTCGTCAAATACAGCTGGCCTTCGATTGCAGAACTGCAAGCCAAGTAACAAGCAATTCCCGTCCCTAGGCCTTAGTTTGTGAAGGCTCTCTTTTTTGTTGTTTTTTTTGGCAACCCCAACCCTCAGTTATGTACTGCAAGATATCCTTGAAAGACTGCGTTTTGAGTTTATTGAAAGTAAATGAAGAGACCAATGTTTCTTTTTCAACATTTCCAGACAAAACTAAAATATGTCTCCATTTTTTAAAACAGCCCATTAAATCTTACTCTTTTTAAAAACGTGTTGGTAAAACGTCTAGTCTCAAGGCTAATCTACAGAAGTCAGAATGTTTCGTATTTTCATTTTAGGCTTGTGTGGGTCATTGGTCGGGAAAAAATACGCTACTGCTTGTAACAGAAAATAAAGGAAAAATTATTGAACGACTTTTTTCTCCTCACACTGGGATACTTTTTAGCCGAGTTGGACATTTTACAAATATGCCCTGCTCCGTTTGAAAAGAAAATCACCACAGAACCATTACGAGAATGCAGAAAGCAAAGATTTGCAATCGTAGGACCCCCCCCCCCTCCCCAAACATTCGCAGCAGGGTTCTGCTAAAGTATGAACGGGAATTTGC